AGTTTCAAGGATGTACCTCCTCACTTACCTCACCAGACCCCCCCCAGGACCCACCACCTCTGGCACCTCCAATCCCCAAGACAATGCCAATGCAACCCAAAAGCCAGCTCAAACATACGGATGTGATTAGACTACACCATGGGTGCATACTTATATATGTAAATACACACACCTCTCTCTCTCTCTCTAAATAATGTTGCATGCCCCTTCTGTGTTTTATTAAACAACCCAAAAAGGGAAGATTTGATACCAAAAGGAGATTTAAAAATTATCTAGAAGCGGCGGTTGAACCCCACCTCCTTGACAATTCTGCATCCAGGAGCAATCCCAGCACTATCAGATCACCTTTCCAAAATCATCCTGTGCCTGCCTCTAGTGACACTGAAGACTGTTAGTGCCTCAGATGATCCACATATAAAAGGAGTGGATCAATAGCCCAGGGCTGAAACCTGTTACATTTCTGTCCACACTTTTGACTAGTATTTAGCCCTGGTGACAAGGAGATACGAGTTGTGCTTTGTAGCATCATAAGCAACTGCAGCTTGAAAGGTGCAGCCTGCTTACTGGTGTGAAACAGTCTGCAGCATTTACTGCAAACCTAACAAGCCAGACAGAAAGGATGTATTACAAATCACAAGCATTTACAACTTGAGTAGGGGCATAATCTCTTTTGGTGCCATATTCTACCATCAACTGTCTGTAAAATAAATAATTTTTAAAATCTAGTGAAGAAACCAATCGATCAGCAATTGATCTTCAAAAATTAACAAAGGCCCCCAAATAATTCTTTACAAATCATTAAGTTAAGAGATACAAAGATAAGGGTAATGTTACCATCTCCTTGGCCACTGTTCTCCCTTCTCTGCTTGGGTACCTACTTTCATAAAACTTTTATCTTTGGATGCTGCTCCTTATCTGCAGTTTTAGTTAAAATCTGCCAATGAAGTCAAAAGTTATTGGGAAAAATGAAACACAACATGACAACACAGATCTTACTTTCTTAGGAAACTAGTTTAAAAAAAATAATCATATAGAGCTAATGTTTGAGAATTGGTTCTGGGGTGAACAGAGAAATCAAACCTCAAACCACTGTCAAGGCTTATACTCTTATGTCTGGACTTGAACTCTTGCCAAGAGTTTGGGATTTTGTGAGGCAGGCCCACCAAAGCAATGAAACAAGCAGAATTAACTTCCCATCTCAGAGCCTTGCAAGTATTTATAAATTGCCTTTTGATTTACTCCATAATCACTTCAATTCTATTGTTAGCCTTGCACATCTTTTCCAAGAACAGGAACAGAGTGACAATATATTTTTTGATTACTGAAATAATTGAGAGAAATAAAAAGAAATGGCACAGTGGCTGCCTCAAAATGCTTTCCTGCCATCTTCTGGACTTTCTTGGTAATGACAGGGAAGAAAGGTCTCAATTCACAACTTAAATTACAGATTTCAGCAGCTGTGTGCCATAACAAGAAAACAACATGCACGTCTGCCCAGTATATGCATATTGTGGCTCTTAAAAGCAAGACTGTCACATTTGTGATTCAGTTCAGCAAGGAAGACTAAGCAATGAGAGAAAAGTTAGTAAAGGAAATACAGTGTCTTGGGAGGTGGGCAGAGTTAGGTCAGAATACCCATGCATACAAGTTGCCCACTCAGATGATGAAGAGGAAACATATGATCCTTGTGACACTCCAACATGTTCTGGAAGCAATCGTTACCTTTCAATGAGAACTTGCAAAGATGAAACACTGTCAGACTTCAACCTATGACCATCACGTATAACACAGAACATAACATTATTCCCACGAGAGAAATCAAAATGGGCATACCTTACTATTTGCCTGCGGAAGAACTGAACAAACGAAGACATTTGGTTCTGTAAGTAGGTTTCTTGACATTTACTGCCAACTGCTGGGGACAGGTGATCTCTGCCATCCCTTGTTCCTAAAAAGGAAACTGCAACATTATAATGACCACACAGTACTGTAAGATTCAGGAGTTCTATAGTAAATCAAATAAAGGAAGATCCATTACACTCAATTTATCTTTTATTTAATCCTTGTCATATATTTTCCTTCTTGACATTTCAGTTAGTACATTCTTCTGATTTTAAAAATCAGATATTAGAATTTATCTGAAGATTGCTGCTGCCAATTTTTGCTGGTGAATTGGTATGTTCATCTCTATTTGCAGAAAGTCACATAAGTAATGGAGTCTATAAAGAGAGTGATCCTTTAAAATGTAGAATTAATAGTCACCAAAAAGGCTACAGAACACTTGAACTTAATTTTCAGCTATCAAAAAATTGATTAATTTTAAAAATATAAAAAAAATCAGGAGAAAGACAAGCAACTGAAACAAGCCCTAGCTTTGCAATACATACTCAGATTGCCTGAGTAAGGAAAGGCTTATGTTTGCTACTTAAATCACAAGCAACAGAATCATTTCACTGAAAACATAAAATAGCAGATTAACTTCCAAGATACACCTCAATGGCTCCAGAACCGATATAACCAAATCAGCTCACCTGACTTGGTAATTAGTAGTTACATTTGCAGTAATGCAAAGTTTAGACATCTAATGTTTGATCTAAGGGCATAAGCAAGTGAGGTTCAGAAATACTGTGTTGTCATAAGAGAAGTTCCTACCTTTATTATCAGTTAAAAAAAAAAGTGTTTGTTGCTGCCCTTTATCTAAGCATTCTTTACTGATACACCTAAGATATACACGTATCAGCCAATACTCATTCATATGTGCCATATGTGTCATTTAATATTAGAAACCGTCTTGATATATTGAGTGTTGCATATGAATTGTGTATAAACAGTGAAGTGTACTAGAAATGTTTTATTCACATCAGTAAACTGAATGTGTTTACATTACAATAAGCAAAGGACAAAATTTGTTCAAAAACTTTTATTTACTATAAAGACAAAAAACACCAAAATAGGTACAAATTATACTATATAAAATTGGTTCAATGGGGTAAAAACTTTTAATTAAAATATCTTGATATATTTAAAATAACAAAGGATACAATGAAGCCAAATTTCTTAACCCAGAGATTTCTGTAAAATTTGCTTGCACAGTAAGGTGCTAATAGAAGTTAGCCCTTAAGCCCTGGAAGTCTTAGGAATCAGTCACATAGCAAATATAATTTCATTGTGAAAGTGAACTTTGGTAGAAGAAACTCTATAGGACACCTGAGGTAGTAGAAACTGGAATAAACAGCAGTAGACGTTATTTACAACTTAAGTACCAAATAACATTAAGAACACAAAAAAATAATTACACAATACAATTTTCAGTCCAGCTTTGATCCAAAGAAAATAAGAATATTACATCACATCTGCATTTTAAAAACACCACAATTACCAGCAAGCTGAGGGAAATGCAAACAAACTCAAACAAATGCATTTGGACACCTAGAGGCAGTTTGAGTTTGAAATGTGGTAGGCATGGTGATCTGCAAAGTAATACTGATTAGCTGAGGTTCATCAGTTTATACAGTTTACATTTCTGCCAGAAATAGTATTAATCTGACAACTGATCTTCCAGTATATGAATTGGCAAGAGTGCATCCTTTAAAGCTTGCACATAAGAAAGACTTGGAAACAATCTTACTAGAATGAGAAATTCTAAAGTGGTCAAAAAAAAAAAGTCAAGTACAAAACAGTTAGAGCTACCAAACTTCACATTTCAGTATTATCTTTTTAACTCTTCAAAGTCTGCCAATTTTCTAAAACAAAGGAATGTAAAATTTTCAAAAGAAACACATTCACAACTAATGACACTGCTTTTTTTATTAGTATGAACACTATCATTCCTGTAAACTTATCTTTACGATGTTTTACTTCCAATTTGTATTGTACATTTTTAATGTACTATAGCTTATCTAGTTTGTCCTGAGTCTTTGAAAATAACCAATTCTGTTTCAGTCCAACAATCCAACTGGCTTCTGAAGAGTTAAAACATAAAAGTATTTTTTTCCAAATGGATTAAACACAATCAGTACTTGATATAAAAAGATCCCCTTTCTTAAAAAAGCAAAAGAAAAGCTGCCATTTTCCTTCAGAATTACATGCATCAGAGTCTAAAAACCTGCCTTTAAAATTATTTTAAAAACCTGTTTTAAAAAAAACACACCTGCTAAAAAAATACAAGTTTTGCACTACAGGTGAAGCTTTTCTTCACATTTTACTTTATCTTGCTTTTCAAGTCCAAGTTTGTTTCTTGTTAAAATAAATACCTTTCTTACGGTAATATTTTTAACATTTTCAAATTAAATTATCACTAATGGCTACAGTAAATAGATGATGTATGGCAGAAGGAAAACAGCAGGTAAAACTTGTTATCAGTAGAGAACATGACCTCAGTTTTGTTACACAAATAATGAGATTTGCTCATAGTTGGCACCTGCTCCCACTGAAGTACAGGACAAAGTCTCCCATAAACTTTAATGGGAGCTGGGTTTGGGCCTTTGACATGAAACTTCTCTACATGATTTGCCAGAAGAAACTGCTATATGAAAAGAAGGCTCAACAACTTTTAGCATGATTCAGACTAAGTTGTTTTATGCATAACAATCTTGTTTTTTCTGTTTTGTTTTTTAAATAACCTATACTATCAGAGCCTTCAACACTGCCTTGTTGAAGGTGGCATTTTATATTTTTCCAGATTTCCAGCAAATCTGGTTTTAAAACTCTTGTGTCAGCACAATGTTCCATGACACAGATTGCATCTTTTTCTAAAGACTATTTAAAAAGATCACCTTTCCTTGAAAGTTAAAAATACAATTAAAACAAACTTTAATTTCAAAAGAAATTACATGGCCAGCAGTAAATGCACAGTGAACCACAACTGCCTGCTCTTACTTTAAGGAAGGCAAAATGTTTTTTTAAAGTATCCATCACTGTTTGGATTTGTTACTCAGAGAACTTTGTATAATTAAAAGGGACAGATATAGAACTTCCTTTTAACTAGTGCTGAAAACTGGCTAATTGTAGAACCCTCTGCTTACATCTACATGATGTGAAATGGAACAGTGATTGCTGTATTAAAATAGATCCTGAGCCCCTCAGCTGCTAATATTGCTGAAAAAGTGCTCCAAGTAAAATATAAATCACTTGTCTGCTAAATAATCATGCAGATTTAAGGAAAAATGCTTTTGTGTTCACATAGAGCCAGATGTTTGAAAAGGCACAGTTTACAAATCTCTGCACAAGTTGTGAAATGTTGCATACTGAGCTTAGGTAAAGATCTCGATTTGTCAATCACATACTTAGGTAAGGTCCTCCACTGGCCTCACGTCCTTGACGTATCTATCATTAAGGCCAGCAGAATAATACAATTCGCTGTGCTTAACTGCACTGCAAAACAGTTATTTTATATTCAGTAGCATCTTCTTCAGTATATCAGCCTTATACATAAGTAGCTACCATGTAGTACGGAACACTGGATGCTTCAGCAGCTCCCTTGATGGGGGTCTGTCCTGAGGTTGAAGTTCTAAACAACGAAGAGTCACATCTTTCAAGCCAGGAGACAGATGTGTAGGGATTGATGGAGCAGTAGTTGCACTAGCAATCTGAACAAAGGAAAAGTAACTTTTTAGAAGTCAGTGATTCTTAAGCCTCCTCTCCTACCCCAAAAACCTTCCACAAGCTGATCATTTTCAGCTGACAAGTTATATTTAGGAGCTTTTCTCCACTTAGCATATTTCGTACTGCAGTTTGAAGATTACATTACTGCTTCCATTTCATAAAATGGGTGTTAAGTTGCCTTTATGCGTATTACCTTTCACAGTTTGCCTCTCTCCTTGCACTTTTCTCTAAATTTCCTTCTTACAGCAAGATTCTGCAGTGACCACCTGCTGAGCAGGCCGTAAGAAAAGCTCTTATGCCATACATACAGGTATTCTTTAGTCTACTAGTTGCCATCACTGTTAACTGGCATAAGCCAACGTGGAGATATATTAAGCTGAGCGACGTTACATTATGGTATGTTAAACTCGGTATGCTCTCTTGCATCGTCTTTACTGTATTTCTGCTACCACTCCAAAAGGCAATTTAATTTTGATCTTCTCTAGATCAAATTAAGTAAGATGAGAACACTGGAGTGGCACCACCAGATTCACACAGACACAGAACCAAGACAATACATCTCATCACAAGTGATTTGTATTTAATTCGAACATATTTGAATACTGCTGTGTTAGTTCTGTTTTGCGGAAACACTTTCTTCACTCATGCTAGTGAAAATGCTAATAATCACTTTCTTCACTTGTGGCAATATTTTCTTCATTCATGCCTACAGTTCAACTAGACTTTTAGAATTAAATATACCTAATTGATTTTAGTAAGAAACATGAATGCCAGAATGGATGACCTAGAAAAGGAGGGGGCAATATTCATATATAGCATGGCATAATGGTAAATACCTTTCAGCAAAATCTGAACATGGAACATCAGGTTTTTACCAACTATTAAATATGAATACACACATAAATGTTGTATGGTAGAAAAACTTCTTTTCCTCCCATATTTTACAGGATTGTAAGAAAGAGTTCAAATCCTTGACTCTTCTGCTTAGAGTCAAGATCAACTGTATTCCCAAATTTTTTTTAGCCCGTTACACCATATATTTGTATCTTAGAACAGAGCTTTTTTTGCACTGTTGTTTTGCATTGTTGTTTTGGTAGCCTTTTTTTTTTTTGAACAAACAAGTATGACTATGTTCATATCAGTACTGATTTTGTACTAACAGTTCCAATATAAAGAAGAGGTATTGCAACAACCCCTACTACTTGTATACTTTTCTAAAATTCACATTGCTGTATATGAAATTAGTCAGCGTCTTTTGTAGCATATTGGTAGCAACAAAATACCTCACCTTAAATATCAGAGCAAGATGATTGGAGTGTTTCTCTGCATTCCAGGGAGGTTTAGCACAAGCCATTTCTATTACAACACAGCCAACGCTCCACACATCACAGCTCCTACCATATTGCTGACCTCTCAGAACCTGAACAGACAGACCAAAGCTCAGATTATCCCCTTCAAAGTCTCTTAACTCTAAGTAATTTAGATGCAAAAAAAATACCATCAACCAAATGCACTCTGATTAACATTTCAGATCGAGAGAGTGATCAGTGATGTAAAATGCCATAAGATTTATACAGTTGTAGAGAGCTAGTAAATAAAATGCCTGATCAAGGGGCAAAGCAAAATACCTTGCAATAGTCACCTTTTGACCAAATGGTCATTTGGGCTTTAGTAACAACACTTATGATAGATATATCTTGTAACAAACTACTTAAAACAGCCTTGACAGAGAGAAAGAAATGTCATTATTGCCATGCTGGAATCATTCCTATTCTTTAGAACAAGTACATTTAAAACATATTTGAAGCATTTACAGCAATTTTCTGTTATTTGGCTGTATGAATTAGCTTAAAGAGTTCAAACAAACTTTTTGAAGTAACTTCCAAAACTGGTTTCTTACCTCCGGTGCCATAAATGCAATAGTTCCCAACAACTGTCCCTGAAACTCCCCAGCACCAGTTCCTTTTGATGCCAACCTGGCTGCAGCTCCAAAATCAGCAATTCTTAATCTATGACCTGTGCTGTCAATTAGCAAATTGGCACCTGTCAACAGCATAATAAAAATACTGCTAGTTGGCTTTCTATTAAAGGCAAAAGGATGAACAGACACTCTTCCTCCCTCCATTTCAAAACTATACATAGGTTGACTTTCCCCACCCCCAATATCAACGGAACCTAAAAATGAAGGACAAAGTCTAATAATGTCACTTTTCTGTTATGCCTGATCGACACTGCACACAGCTTGAGGCTGTCCAAGAGATTTAGAGAACGAATCAAACTTTCAAAACTAGGGCAAACACAGGATTCTGGAACAATGCCTGGAGATAGAATACTAAAGGAAAATAGTGACCTAAAAGCCTAGAGATTTTCATTGCCTGCAGCTCCCTGTGAAATTTAAACTTATTTCATCCATTTCATTCAAAAATGTGGACTTTACAGAGCAATTGAAGGTTTTCCTATTTTAAGAAGAAATATTAAAGACAAATGTTTACTATCGCTATGTTGCTGCTTATCTGGATCTCTCTCCAGTTCATGGACAGCTATAGTGACATTGAAGGGAAAAGTTTAGAAAGACTGGTATTTCCCAATAAAGTCCATATTTTGCTCAAACACAGTACAACTGTATTTATGTTCAATTATGTTCAATGAAGGAGGAAAACTCATCACAATATTCCTATACATTAGAAACCTCACCTCTTTATCTTGGCTTGTTCACAAATTTTACTATCATTTCAGTGTAAGCATTTACATTAATTTAACTAGCAATCTTTAAAGCTGTATGGCAACTTCCTATTTTGTTTGAACAAATTGAGAAAACCAATTTTTCTAAACTATTGGTATGGGTAGCAAATATCCCCAAGCATGCTATGAACATTCTCATTAATTTCAGTAATTAAAGGTTCTTAAGAATGATCAGATAAGCCCACCAGAAATACCACTCTTGAGATGGTATCTGAGAGAAGCAATAGGTCTCAAGCCAAAATAGATGCTGCTTTCTGAATATTCCTTTTTAAAAGACATTCTTAGTAATTCTCACCTTTAACATCTCTATGGATTATCTGATTCTCATGGAGGTAAGAAAGACCACGTAACAGTTGTTCTGTGTAATTAATAATAACCGATTCTTTGAAGGCTCCATATTTACTTAACAAATGAGCAACTGAACCCCCTAGAAGGTAAAAAAAAAAATACGTTTTATCAACACTTATATTTTGTATTAGTAGAATGCAGCACTGCCTCCTAAAATTGGAACTTGATATTGGTATTCCTAATTTATAACTAGATTTCTCCCCCAAAAAAAACATTTAAAAGTTTCATAGGTAGAAAGTAATATACTTGGTTACCTAATTGCTTTCTACCTGGAACTGTACACGTTAAAGACATAAGTCTTCATGCTTCCTAATAATTTTATACTTCCTTAAAAGAATGTACAAAGTACTGTTGCTGATAAAAAACTACATCCATTTATCCACATTTTGCATTAACGTTTAAGCAGCAGAATACTAGCTTTCTTTGGGGCAACAGATACGTTCAACCTCCAGCAAGCGTTCCCTCTGAGGATCTTAATTTACCTTTGTTACCATCCAAATACCAATATACAGAAGCAAGTAGATAAGCAAAGAAAAGCAGTATCTTCTTCTATTTTCCAAAGTTGTTACACAGATCCTCACGATTTTGGATTTCCATTGTGCCTCTCAAACTATTCTAATATAACTATTCTAATATTCTAATATATGTAAAGACAATTCCTGACATTTCATTATCTAAGTAATATTATTTCAGAAAAATTATACTTAAAAAAGTTAAACATCCTTAGTTTTGAGAAAATATTTACTGCACTACTGCTTGTAATAACACATACTTGGGCTTTGCTTGTTAGCACTCTGGTATTCCTAAGTGGTTTCTGCCAAAGAACGTAAGTTAAGGTGGAATGCTTTCTTTAATATGAAATAAGGATGTACAGAACACCAAATCTTGGTAACTGGATGACAACAACATATAATCCCATTTATAAAATTAATAAAGCTCCTTCTTGAAAAAAGTATATAGACCTTCTTGCCCCTGCTCTATACAATAATGAAAAGATTTCACTATTTGTTACTAAATTACCACTTAATATATTTAAGATTTGAACATGTTTTTCCTGAAGCATTCTCCTTACTACCTACTATTAGAAATTTACTTTAAGTTCTTAAATGCCTTTGCATGTCACTTCACACAATTTTTATGAAAATGCTTGGGACAAAAACAAGCGACAGGTATGCCAAACTTTGCTAGAAAGTTATTTTTAATAATAACTTAAAGTTACACAAGTACACTGAAAATGCAACAGTGATGTATTTCCAGCTGAAGTGCCTGTCTCTCAAAGTTTCTAACTCCTCGTTTAGATTCAGAAATTGAGGAAAAAGTAGTAGAATTTTTGTTCAGGGCTTTCAACTGCTTTAACCGTATGACAGATTAGGTATGGAAAATTCCAAATCAAAAAAAGGATGCACCAGTAAGAATATTGCTACGACCACTTAAACTGTTAAACTGGTTGGGGGGCGGGAGGGAGGGGGAACCCCAAACTTACAGTAGACCTTTATACTGGTTACCAACAGCAATGAAAATACAAATTTGCAAACTGAAGTGATGCAAAATGCAGCATGAAACTACATAGTTCAAGACTCAACTGATATTTTCACCTTCTTTGACATAGTAGTTGCTTACCTGCCATCCATTCAATAAAGAGGTTATAGTTGCTCTTCTCACATGTGGCACCCAACATCCGAATAATGTTAGGATGGTTCAGATGACTCATCATCCTTATTTCTTCTCTCAGTGCTTCAACTACCTCTTCTTGCTCAGATGATGTGTTCCTGACATATGTCACCTGTTTTGAAATATAATACTCAGACTTACCTTACATAATTACCAGTCCTGTAACCCCGCTTTCAGTATAGTAACAAGAATGGATGGTTTTCTATCCCTTTTCACCATCTGGAAATAGCAAGTATTCTTTTATCTCAGCTGAGAACGTATCTCCATGTGAGACAGTCATAGAAAATAAAGAGTGATCTTCTAGGGAAATACCAACAAAAATATCTCCAAGTATGGAGTAGGGAAACTTCCCTCTTCACTCTCCTCTGCTTAAACTAGGAAAAAAATACTTTTTTTTCAGATGTTGAAGAAAAGGAAGAAAGATGAGGCCTGAAATGGGATTCTGACAGTGTTATTTGTAATATTTTTACCAGTTTAACCATACTATCTGTTTCATAACTAAACCTCTTATCCCAGAAATTTGATAGGAGTAGGAGGGAAGTAGATCAGAAGTCCTGTAACGGAACTGGAGCCAACCCCAGCTCTGACCCATACTAATTCTGCAATAATGGTATGCTGCAGAGAATTTCCCCTGGGCATCAGAATCATCATAATCTCTCCAGGAGGAGCCTCAAGGACTACATGGACAGTCCTACTCTTTCACAAGCCAGAGAGTTTCAAAGGAGGAATAGCTGATGACAGATATTCTCTGCCCCATTAAATGTTTTCAAATTGCTCAATGCCATAGATAAGTTCATTCCAGAATCAGTAAGAAAATGTTAAGACTAAGATTCCCTCTATGTTGGCATCACTGATTCAGACCTAAGGCACTTTAAGTGTGAAAGACTTACTTACATCTAGAACCTTCAAAATCTTGAGAGAAGCATGTGCATTTGGGCCTCTTTTCTCAGTCACACTTCTGTATCTATTAATTTAAATATTAAAAATACTTGCCCCAAAGTTGTCTGTTGCATCAGAGGAAACAAGCATTAAACTATGTTTCCCCCACTTAAACTGTTTTAGGAAAAAAAAATCTTGACAAGTAAGGGGAAACTACTTTTAATAGCTACCTTGCAAATAAGGCATTGATCTGGAATCAAGAGATCAGGGCTCCATTCCTAACTCTGTCCACTGATTTATGAACTTAATAAAAGTAAAAATGCATTTGAAGAACTATGAAAGAAAATGGGCATATAAAAAAAAGTATTTTTTTCACTTTAAGGAGAAGTGAAAAAAGAAAGAAAATACTATGTTAATACCATGTACATAAAGACTTTTTATTATGTATTACATGAAAACACATGACAGGGAGCAGAGGAAGCAAGGAACACAAGAAGTCTATGAGAGCAGAGAGCTTTTGTATTTAATATTCCAAAGAAATATTAAAAAACAAGCACAATATATTCAAGAAAGTGAAGTATTTGAAGTATTTACCTGTTTTACAGCCATTAATGTCCCTGTTCCTACATCTTGAGCTTGGTAACAGGAAGAGAAAGCTCCAAGACCAATTTGCTGACCTTTAAGCCATTCTGCATCTTCTCTGTAATGGTGTTTTGCTTTGGTATGTCCAGGCAGGGTTTCTGGTGTCTGCAAATTAAATTCCAAATCAACTCCATGTTTACTAGCACGCATCTAAAATGTAGACATTCTGGAAGGTTATGAAATATCCAAGCTTATATGCCTCTCCTCTCCCTTACAGTTCTTTGTACTGCATGTTATACATGTTTCAGCTGAGACTAGAACACCAGTGTATTCTGTAATCCACATACTCCTACTGTAAGAACAAAGAGCCTCCTCTATGGTGAAAGTGAAAGGCAAGATTTAAGGACATAAATAGGAGCAAGACTTTTCTTCTATTCCTGATCTCACGTCTAGTTAAGGTTTTAGTTAGCACCTACAGTAAACACAATCAAAATCACGTTGTTTTCTACTTAATTTATTTCTCCCATTTTATACTTCACATGTTGTTGCCTCATGCAAAGGATCACAGATAAAATACTCCTTTCTCTATTCTTATTTCTTGTGGTTTTGTCTATTTGCCAACAAATATATTTTTTCTGACTTCTAAAGTATCTCACATCTCTCTCAAGATGTGCCGACAAGATCTCTTCCAACTCTGCTTTTTCTTTCAGAAACTAGTTTGGTTTTGTACAATTGCCTTCAATGTAAAGCAGCATTAAGACTCAATACAGTTCTACTCCTGCTTAAAAACTTTGTTCTTATTTCCTAATTGCCCCATTTTTACACTTCCTTCTCTGCCATTTTAAAGGTTGGTACATGACATGATGTTTCTCTTCCAAATACCTTCTCTAAACTTGTTAATAGCCATGGAAGGATTCTGTTAGCACCCTCAACTGGCAGACTGTTTATACTCCAACTCCTAGGAGAGGGTATTGCATACCTTTGTGTTTTATATAACTTTAGAAATGTAATAGCACTGCTTTATAAATTCAGTGAACCTCAATTGAGACTTATGCTAAATTCCTATATGCTGAATGATTATGATATCTTCACCATTTTCGACCTGTAGTTGGGGAATTACTGGCAGGGCATCTTGAGATGCTGACATTGCCATAGCAATAGCTAAAGCTTCCTCCTCTTCAGCTTCCATCTTTTCCTTGCATTTTTTATTATGATTTACATCATCTTTGTAAGTATCATCATTTTCTGCCCTCTCAGGAGAAAGAACTGCAACTTCAGACTTGAATGTAACTGTGCCATCACTCGTTGGCATGGAGGCCTCGAGTAGGTCCTCAATACTGGAATTGAGCTCTGCATTAACATCCAATCGACATTTTTCATCTACTGGTGTGAACACTGTCTCTTCACTTGGTATAACTGCACTGCTACTACTACTACTATTGCCATCACACTGTGAAATATCATTCAGGTCAAGTGTCATACAGTTTTTTAAGGTTTCTTCCTGCTTGTTCACATCACTGTGGGTGGGTCGTGATGGCTTTGGCCTGTGTATGTGACTGGATGGCAATGGCCTGGCTTGGGTAAAAACTGGAGAAAGTTTCTCTGGTTCTTTATTTTCAGAACAGTTTCTCTGAAACTGGAGAGAAAGTTTCCGCTGTGTTTGAGGAGAAGGTGAGGGGATTTTGCAGGGAACGAATCCCTGAGGTCTGAGTTTAGAGACATCTGTTACAGTGCCAGCTGGTACAGATGGGTTTGAAGGAGACTGAAGCGTTGGGAAGAGTGACTGGGAATGACTGCATGAGGGAGAAGAGTTCAAACACTGACTGTGGGGTCTTCCTTTTGTTTGAATGGCTGGCTTTGGTTGCTCAGTGGTTACTGACGAAACAGGAACCCCCACAGCAAGGCCAGCCAGCGTCTCAGAAATGTCCTCTGGACTGGCACTCAGTTTTTTATCACTTAAACCTTTTCCACTTTTCCCTGATAACTGGACAGTATTGTTAGGAGTATTACTTTCTGTAGCTTCTGGAGAGTTATCTGGTACAGGTAGCTGCAAAAAGTCTTCATGTCGACATTCCCCAGAGTGCATTTCTTCCATGCCTAGCTGGATGGCTTCTGCAATTTCCATTTCATCTGCTATTGCCATCAGACGTCGACGCATCCTTGCATAATGAGTTGAGCTTGTCACACTCAACATTTCTAACAGCTTTACAAAAACATGGGGCACTCTTGCCACCATTCTTGCAGCACTCAAAAATACTCTCCGTGATAGTTTACCAACCATTGAGTGGGAATTGTCAATTGACTGCAATGCGAAAGTTAAGAGGGAGAGAAGTTTCTTATACCTAAAAAAAGAAGAGAGGTGTTTTATACACTGATATGCTCTAGTGAACTAGTGCCAAGAGAGCCATTTCAAGAGAATGTATTTAGCTGTCAGTTCTGCAGTAGAAAGGAGACTTATTGCTGCACTGGTGCTTCAAAATTGATTCACAGGTCAGAAGTTTTAAAAAAGGCAACCATTTACTCCATAAAGTAAGTGCACTTTTGCATATAAATATATGCTATTTGTTTACAGGAATTAGAGCAACTATTTTTTTGACGAAATCACCAACACCAAAATCAACTAGTAAGACTAAAAGTAATAGTCATATAGTGTAAGCAAGTACCTGTCTACTATGGTATCAGCCTGTAAAACATCTCCACAGACAATGTGGGGATAAAATTCACCAGGAAATTCCAACAGAAGTCTGTCTATTAGACAAAGTCGCCCCAGTAGTGCTTGCCAGTTGCTAGATTCGGTTTGGGTTCCGAGAATACAATTTAAGACATAATCAACACCACCAATACCAATGGACCCTATAAAAAAAAGTTGATAAAATAAGGGTTAGATATGTTCACAATCTAAATTCTGATCTAAATAAAGATTAGAACTTTATCATACAGAAATACACATTCTGTGCCCAAATTACCCCCCTTCCCAAACTGCTGAGAGAAATACTGTTCTCTTTGCCATGCTATTGGATAAATCCTATATTAAAACACTTCAGTATATTTGCTTGGAATTCTAATTCAATTATATATGAAGAGCTATTATTATTACCAGATTTAAGTATTTCTCTCCCAACTGCCAGCTCGCCTGCTTGGCCTTTACACATCTCCAATAGCGTTGAGACTGAAAGTTGACTTGTTCGACTATAAGAAATTAAAACCAAAAAGTAACTCTTTTAGCAGATGCTTTCAAGGAAAAACATTCTAATCATTATACTTCAATAATCCTTAGCTTGGAATTGTGCATGGAAAATGATTTCACATCACTTTATTCCAATACATTTCTATAGTCCTCTATCTGTAAGCCACCAATAGTTGTCACATTTTTTACAAGGATACTTCCAGAGATGTAATGTCTATCATTAATACATAAACAAAAACCCAAATAGGACCCCATTCCCTTGCAAAAACAAGCCAAACCCAGGAATCCAGCAACACAAGGAACAGTTCTATTTTACTTATTCCTTAACTTTAGATATTCTATTGCTAGACTATTGCCAGGGCATCTCTATCTGCAGTTTTCACTACACTGTGAAATAAAAAGTAGAAGTGTTATGTTAACAGTTCATGGCACAGATGTACAACAGCTCTTGTTGAAGTAGGAAACATACATGATTAGTACTTGCTGAAGGGCACTTGCTGACTGCTTAAAGGTGAGTCATGAGAATTAGACCAAAGCAGTATCAACTGAGATGGCTGGGATGGTTGATGACTACACCTAACATCTTCCTTTATTTTAAGGGGGAAAAAAGACCTTATGAAAGCGAAGTATCTTTTAAGATACTTCTAACACTTAAGTGTTGGAAAATACAATCAGGTGCCTTCAGGAACTGGAAGATAGGGACAGAGAGCAGGATAAACCCCCCATAATCCAAGAGGAAGAAGTTAATGACCTGCTATGCCACCTGGACGGGACCCAGGTGGGGCCCCCCCGAGGGTACTGGGGGAGCTGGCAGAGGAGTTTGCTGAGCCACTCTCCATCATTTATCAGCAGTCCTGGTTAACAGGGGAGGTCCCAGACAACTGGAGGCTTGCCAATGTGACACCCATCTACAAGAAGGGCCGGAAGGAGGATCCGGGGAACTACAGGCCGGTCAGCCTGACCTCGGTGCCAGGGAAGATTATGGAGCAATTCATCTTGAAGGTGCTCACAAGGCACGTGCAGGACAACCAGAGGATCAGGCCCGGCCCGTGTTCATGGAAGGCAGGTCCTGCTTGACTAACCTGATCTCCTTCTATGGCCAGGTGACCTGCCCCATGGATGAGGGAAAGGCTGTGGATGCGCTGGACTTCAGCAAAGCCTTCGACACTGTCTCCCACGGCATTCTCCTAGAGAAGCTGGCGGCTCACAGCTTAGACCGGTGTACTCTTTGCTGGGTAATAAACTGGCTGGACGGCCAAGCCCAGAGAG